TGACCACTCTTTTTTTCCCTTTCTAACCGCATGTCGTGTGGTTAAATATATATCCTCAAGAAACGTATCGAAAAAGGGGCATCATTCTAAATGTGGTGCAATGCTTTACAAATATTGTGTTACAAAAAAATATACTGTCATTGCACAACATTAACAGTAATGTGCAAAAATGAATATTACTCATAATAAGCAAGATTTTAGCCTCCTGCCGTCAAGTACAAAGTTTGTTTTGACTAAAGACATCAGACATTAAGCTTTAATCACTCATCATTGATCTGAAATGCAGTAGCTACAGTAATCTTACAGACTGTAACAATTTCTTACATTGAACCACATTTCTGAACTTCTTTAACAGAAAAATGTCCTTCTACTACACACAGCTTTTTCATGCCCCGTTTGTCTCGTTGTGCCTTCTCTCCTTTGCAGGTGACAAGCGGCTTTGAGCTCTACCTCTGCTTTAGTCCGATGGCGACCAAGGCCTCAGCGTTCGCCGCTGTCAATAAACTGCTGAAGTGGATCAGGAAGGAGGAGGATCGCCTCTTCATCCTCAGTCCTCTCACATACTGAGCCTCCTGAAACGTAAAGCCGTATTGTGAACACAGACTGGAGTGGTGCTAACAGCAGCTACGCATGATGAAGCAGTAGTCTTTAAGAGTATGATGAGTGTCGAAGCCTATGCATTTTCTTTTTTTTGGCTTTCGGAATGCTCTGTTCTAATTCTCTGATTTGTAATGAAGTGTGCTGTGCAATTGAATTAACGCTGTGTTTTAGCTGGCGAGATTTTTTTATAACTTTTAATTAAAAAAATGAAGAGCAGATAGAAGCCTCCGCACTTTTGGTAACACAGAAGCTTGCAGTGTTTACCTGTTGTTAAAGATCTTTCATGGAGGGATGGTTTTACTGTAACGGCTATTATGCATCTCACAACTTAAAAAAAATGTCTTTTTTATGGTATTAACTCAGTTCTTAGAAATGAAGAATAAACTGGAAATTCCTGAATGTATTTTCAAATTAGAAGACATGTTGGCAAAATATGGGTTAACGGCATTCCTGTTGGAAGCATCACCCTTTTACCTCTATGCACTTTGTTTATGTAACGGACACTGAAACAGAAAGCCTGTGACCTGTTTACTGCTGTCAGTAGTTTGTAATAACACGTCTTAACACCACTGTAGAGGAATTCCACATGAACTCCATTATTTTTCCAGTTCATCTCTTTCTTTTCACCCATAATACATTAACAGATGATATATTTCTGCATGCCTCTTAAAGCTTTGTTTCCTAGAAACCTGCTATGCTTGAGGAATCTAGCCTTGCCACATTTGCCTCCTCTAATCATGCCTTAACTGTTATTGTGCTAAACAAATATGTAATGCTTTATGGCAGTCCCATAATTGCAAAATTATATGTAAATAAAGAAACGACCTGCAAGCTGATGTGTCATTCTTTTCCCCTCACACTGTAGGCACTTCGTAGATGGCAGTAGCAGCAGCACTTCCGTCTCACAAACGCGGAGCACACTTGCACAACAAAAGGAGTAAGTTTTATGGTGCTGTGAAACAGGCAGGGCAGTGGTGGGGTAGATAAGGAGGAAACGTTGATGGCATTAAAAAGTGACCGAGGCCACCTATAGACGCTGGGCTAATTGGCTTCTGTTCGTGCTGCTGGTGTGTGTCAGTGTGGAGCTGTGAGGGGAGGAGCGATGACACAGCTGAGGTGCAGAGGACCGATTCAAACCGGGAGTTAAAGTTAAATACGAAGCGGGCGCTTAACGAAAACAGAAGGGCTTATATTTAAAAAAAAAA